GTGAACATTTGGGTGGCATTATGCTAATATTTCCACATAGTGAGGTAGATATGTGGGGGCGTGTTAGAACGAGCTGTTTTAGGTAGGCGTGGCAGAGTCTTAACTTTGATAAAGAATATCTCTTTGGTTTTGAGACTAAAGTTTTAACTTTCATTTTTTTTCAAACTACCATTTTTTATGGTTTAAATGTTAGTTTAAATTAACTATAATAACTGTGCTTCTGAGTTTATTTGGCAAAGGTGACTTCGCCGCTTGTGGGACTGATGCTGGTGGACGGCAGCTCTGTAAGTTCTCTCCGTAATGTTTGTCATCTACATGTTAGGCTGCCTTTAAAAGGATAGTTCACCCACAAATGAACATTGCTGCCATTAATTACTCACCCTCATGTTGTTCCAAACCTGTAAGACCTTTGTTCATTTTTGGAAAACAAATGAATTTTTTTGTGATGAAATCCAATGGCTTTCTGACCCTGCATAGACAACAATGCAACTACCACGTTCAAGGCCCAGAAAGGTAGTAAGGACATCATTAAAATAGTCCATGTGACATCAGTGGTTCAACCCTAATTTTATGAAGCTTCGAAAGTACTTTTTGTATGCAAAAAAAACTAAAATAACTTTATTAAACAATTTCTTTCAATTTTTGATGCACATTAATGAGTACCACAACGCAAAATGTAAAGAGCTTTATATAATGTAATATAATGTGGTAATATACATTTAATTACTATATTAATATAAGCATTTTTCCATATTCCCTAATAAATGGTTTGCCATTCAGCCAGTACAGCCTTGTACACGCATGACGAGGAGGAATAAAATATCTCAAGACCTGTGTTCTTTAACTTTCTTTTATTTTAAAAAAATCACTCCATAATTACAATTCAGTGTTAAAAGCAGACTGATAGTGAATGAAACTCAAAAAAGTACGACATAAACATTCATACATTTGTACTTAAAAATACACACAGTATAGCTCCTCTATTCCCTTTGCAACCTGTTACGGGGCTGACGAGACGTGAGACGTGCGGATCCATGTGCAAGCTTTATTTAAAGCAGAGAGGTCAGAAACACAGGCAGGGTTGAACAATGGCAAACAGGTATATGGTGGACAAGACACAAGAATAATCCTAGGGCTAGCGAAGGTCAACGAACAACAAACAGAATCAAAAGGGCGAGACTAAAGGGATAAATCCAGGAAAACAGGCAAAGATCAGAAACCGAGAAAACAGACAAGGCAAGACTAGGCTAGGCTAGGCTAGGCTAGGAAGCTAACGAGGTCTCTGTAGAGTAGCTATCACTGCTGGCGATAAGTGCATACAATACTTGGCAGTTAGAAAGGAGTGAGAATGAGTGTTAAATAGTGAGCGAGTGATATGAAACAGCTGTGTGCAATCAGTGCTGTGTGCAATCAGTGTAATGAATGATGGGATATGTAGTCCGGGGTGATATGCAACAGTGTAGTGCGCGAGAGTCAATGAAGTGGAAAGGGTGACCTCTGATGGCTAGCAGACGGAAGTTCATGGACCGGATACGTAACACAACCAGTCACTGTTAACAGCCTATTAATATATCAGTGAACTAGTCAAACTGAAAGATAAGTGAGAAAATCAATAAGACGTTTTTAGCATTCATACTATCATTCTATGCATCAACTGGAGTATTTGTGGACAAAATAAGCAACAGGATCAACTTCATTTTTTATCAAATCTCTTCAGTTGTTTTCCTTCAGCAAAGAACCTAAACAAGATTCCAGAAAAGTTATTATGCTTTTTCATTGCATTTTGCTTTGAGAAGAAAATCAATGGAAGATTGTAAACACAATCAGTCTTTCGGCGGTCTTGTGAATTGTAATTTCATGATCTGGCCGGCCGCTGCTTCCATTAAAGTGCAGAAGTGCAGCGGCAGCATGTGGGTTTAGGGGTGCAATTAGGAATGCAGCAGGGCTCGAGTGCAGAGTCTCTCCCTTTGGCAATCTCACTCTCGCCAAACACCATAGAAGCCTCAAACTGTTCCTTGACAGCCTGGATTTGCTTGAGCACAGAGTCCCATTCGGTACTGTTAAGGTTATAGTTTTCTGATGGGTCTGCCTCTAAGTTATATAGTAAAGGAGGATCATGGCGCTTGAGGAAAAGTGATGAGCAGTTGCTGTCCTGGGGGTTTTCACTGTGAATTGCACCTGAGTTATGGGGGGGGGGAAAAGACAACAGAAATAAACAGGAAGGTGAGGTTTATATAGTCTAAGCAATGGTGAACTTACCCTGTGTATAGTAATGTGCTTTGAAATTTTTCCATCTCACTGCAAACACGCTATACTTCTCACTTGGAGCAATCGGGTAGTAAAAGATGGTCTGTCTTTCACTCTGAAACATCAATAACAAGGTTTTTAAAGCACGGGCTCATTGGCAGAGCTTGTTCAGGGTAAAATAGTAAATAATGAAGTCAAATAAATAATGACAGAGATATTTGGTAAACTATTCCTTTAACCATTTTAAATAGTTATACATAGTGTCTCCAAATTCTATAATAGCAAAATATGCAGCAAAAACATACTGAGGTTCTGTGGTGCTGTGCTCAAAGATACTAATAATGGATGTATATGTAGGTTAACTATTCAAAAATAAAGCAGACTGAATGCAAGAATGCTTCCTGTATGCTTAGAAAAAACTAAATATGTATGTGACCCTGGAGCACAGAACCAGTCTTAAGTCACTGGGGTATATTTGTAGCAATAGCCAAAAATACATTGCATGGGTCAAAATTATAGATTTTTCTTATATGCTAAAAATCATTAGGACATTAAGTAAAGATCATGTTCTATAAAGATATTTAGTAAATTTTTCTACTGTAAATATATCAAAACTTAATTTTTGATTAGTAATATGCATTGCTAGGAACTTCATTTGGACAACTTTAAAGGCGATTTTCTCAATATTTAGATTTTTTTGCACCCTCAGATTCCAGATTTTCAAATAGTTGTCTCCTATCCTAACAAACCATGCATCAATGGAAAGCTTATTTATTCAGCTTTCAGATGATGTATAAATCACAATTTCAAAAAAATGTACCCTTATGACTGGTTTTGTGGTCCAGGGTCACAAATACAAAAATACACTATTGTTCAAAAGTTTGGGGTCAGTAAGATTTGTGTGTTTTGTTTTTTTTAGAAACGTGTAGTTCTATTGTGCAGTGATGAGTTAAACTGATCGAAAGAGACACTAAAGGCTTCTAAAGTGTTAACAATTTTAATAAAAAAAAAATCTGAACTTTCTATTCATCAAAGAATCCTGAAAAAATATGTCAGTGCTTCCGCAAAGATACAGAAGTAGCACAAAAAGAAATATTTCTTGAGCATATTAGAATGATTTCTGAAGGATAATGTGACTCTCAAGACTAGTAATGATGCTGAAATTTAGCTTGGCATCACAGGAATAAATTACATTTTAAAGTATATTAAAATAGAAAATAAAAATATTTCACAATATGAATGTTTTCCTGTATTTTTGTTTAAATAAAACATGTTTTACAAATCTTACCAAGCCCAAACAAACACTAATGTATGTATGCATGCATTTTGATCATTTTGTCTCTTACCGCTCCGCGATTCAACAGGATGTTTGTCATGTCGACCCCGTCTAGTTGAACGTCAGGTAACGCAGCTCCAGCCAGTTTGGCAAAGGTGGGCAGAATGTCCAAAGAGCTGGCCAGAGCACGGGTCACACCTTTGAATGATGGGAAAACAAAGTAAATGTCTTCAATTTCATAAAACATTGTATATTTCTTATAGCTGGATTCAGACACTGGGCTGTTTACCTGGTTGGATGGATCCAGGCCAATATGCGATGGCCGGCTCTCTCGTTCCTCCTTCATAAGTCGTGCCTTTGCCACATTTCATCAGGCCTGCGTTTCCCCCACGAGACTTCCGCATGAGCTCTGGCCTGCGAACGCACACATATATAGATGTTAAGAGAAACAGAAACGCACCAAGCATGGACTAAGGAGAAACACCTACCCGTTGTCACCAGTGAAGAAGACGAGAGTGTTGTTGATCACCCCCGTCTCCTCCAGAGTTTGCAGAATCTTCCCCACAGTGCCATCAAACTCCATCAGAGCGTCACCGAACGGCCCACGAGGAGACTTCCCTGCATAGTCTGCACCTGCATACTGAGGGTAGTGTGTGTGCTGAAGAGACAAAGACCAGGCAGAAAATCATTAAGTGCGTTTCTAAAAGACCATAACATATTCTGGAAGCAAAAAATCCCACTTATTTTGAATACATTGTGTAAATCTTTCAAGAAAGACCTACTATGAGCTTTGAGATTGTTAAATGATGCTAAACACTATAGAAACCTTCAGAAAATCAGTGTGATTATCACTTCTGATTTTAATTTTATTTAAATTAATAAAAAACAAACAAAAAAAAACTAAATTTAAATTACTCTTTATTATTTAACTTAATTATCTATTAATCTTAATTGCTTAGTTCATTATTATTTAATTTATAATTATTTCGTTTTGTTCAAGTCATGTTCCTTCTCTGTGAAGAACTACACTGCCCACAATCCTCTTTGGCTCGTCCAATCAAAAAAAGTCAGTTACCAAGGAAATTGGAATTATGTCAAAAGAGGTAATGAGACACTCCCATGAAGCATTGCGAATGACATAATCCTCCCTAAACTTCCAAACAACTTATATTTTTGTATATTTTAATATTTTGCACACACGCACAAAAAAATCTATCTATCTAGTTGAGAGTGTAAAAGAAAAAGGTGCTATGAAATTAAATGATCATTTTTTAATTATTTTATGAAGGCAGTTAAGGCATCCCATGAAGCATTGCGCATATATATATATATATATATATATATATATATATATATATATATATATATACACACACATATGTGTATATATATATATATACACATTTTTTTATTGCATCATCTACAATGCTTCATGGGATGCCTTAACTGCCTTCATAAAATAATTAAAAAACGATCATTTAATTTCATAGCACCTTTTCCTTTGACACTATCAACTCGTTATTTAAAGCATTTTTATCCAAAGTTGGGATTACATTTATTATAAATACTTTACATACTTATTTTCTCAATAACAAGCATTATAAGAAACATTATACTGTAGAAATTCCGTAATATAAAATAATCTAGTACTCTCGGAGACATGCAAGCAATTGCATAAAACATTACAAAAATGATTTACATTTTCATCCAGTCATTTATCAGATGCTTTTATCCAAATCGACATACAAATGAGGACAACAGAAGCAATCAAAACAAAAAGAGCAATAATATGAAGTCTTGGTTAGTTTATTTGATTCAGACTGTTGATTTGACTCACATGTGAAGGATAGTACAGGAAGAACGGGCCGTTATTTCGGACAGCATCAGTGATGAACTGAGTGGCAAATTCGCTGTAGGCCTTCTCGAGCTGCAGGAAGTCTGCAGGCTGCTGCTTGATGTTCTCATTAAACATGAGAGGTACAGTTACAACACCCTGATCACAGAAGCCATAGCACTTCACATCCGGAGGGAAACACGTGAGATTCTGACAGGGACCCTTTGATAGAGAGATATTATGCAATGATGAAAGATGGCAACAAAATGAAGACTCTAACATTCAGGAATCAGTTGACACGCCTGCATTAAAAATATATATTAATTATAATAATGTTATGCAAATTCCTTGGTGCTTTCCAGATAAAACTCAAGAATAATTCAAGAAAACATAATGACCTGGTCGTGTGAGTACGGGATACCGAGATAATTGTCAAAGCCCTGTCGGGTGGGCAGGTAAGTGCCATTCAGCCCGACGCCCAGGTGCCATTTGCCCACTATGGCTGTAGTGTAACCCTTAGACTTCAGCACCTCTGCGATAGTGGTCTCGTTGAGAGGGAGACCCCCTTTTGAGGCCGGATACAGCACACCCGGATAGATGCCGGAACGAGTCTGATAGCGGCCCGTCAGCAAGGCTGCCCTGGACCAAAAAAAACAGTATGTAAAAGGAAGTTCTGCACATTAGCACGATAAATCATTATAAGAGGGTGAATTCTAATTTCTAACCACTGATTATGATATTGGTTTAATCATTGTAAGATGAATGGAAGGTTACCTTGAGCACATTGCATTTATCATGCAGTCTGCAGTGTATGTACAATTTTATAAAAATGAGGTCTTGCATACAGAAAATACACATACTGTGCATAGTATACATTTTAAATAATGCAGAAATAGAAGGCCTATTAGTAGTAGCCTGTTGTTGGGGACCAAAATATGAACCTTTCATTACCCATAATAGGGGCACTTTAATAACTGTTGTTGATTTTATTGAAGAACATACAGTGGTTAACTTCTGGCATCACAAAATGAATCATTATTAATTTATTTCATACAGTATATCATACATTTTTTTGGGGTGGAGGACCTTTGAATATTGTGTTGGACAGTGGAGGGCTTTCGAGTGGAAAAGGTTGAGAACCACTGCACTAAACGGTTCAATTAAAACGTAATCCAATAATAAATCTCCCTTGATTATCAACCTTGTTGAAGAGAGGTGCACTGTTTCTTTTCAGTATTCAGATTTGTTTGGTTAGTGGACAGTTCCTTGGATTTGCATTGAGGGAAGAACCTGAGACATAACTAGCGACCAGAATGTCATTACCATCTAGAAACCACATTGCAATGTGCTAAAACACTGTGATGACCTTAGCTACAGGATTGTGCAACATTGAAGTTCCTAAATTATATTTGAAGTAGCAGACAGAATGCAGAATTACAATTAGATTTTGATTTTGACTGATTTTTAAACATGTTTAAAATGCTTTGTGTATTTAATAAGTCTATAATGCTCACCAAGGCTGGCTTTATTTGATCATAAATACAGTTAAAGCTGTGAAAAATTAAGTATTATTATTTAAAATTTAAAATAGCTGTTTTCTATTTAAATATATCTTAAAATATATTTTATTCCTATGATGCAAAGCTGAATTTTCAGCATCATTACTGCAGTCTTGAGTGTCACATGGTCCTTCAGAAATCATTCTATGCTGATGTGCTGCTCAAGAAACATTACTTATTATCACAGTCTCATTCTTTAATCAATAGAATGCTAAGAAGAACATCATTTATTTGAAATAAGTAAAAGAATAGTGAAATAAATAAAAGATTAAAACTGAGTTCTGCACAGGCAAGTGCTTATCACATTTTTGGTAAATATAGAAATTGACTTCTATATGCTTGTGATTTGTGTTTATGCATTAAATGTGAGGGGTGTGCTGTGACCCTCTCATGCTCTTTTCTGTTGTAGCGCACAGGGATCTGCACATTGATAAACTGTTTTGATTTACCATTCAATTTCACATGCCCGTCCAGAGATGACCTACATTCAGTTTGGCACGAGTGTGTGTGGTATTAGAGTAATGAAGGCAGGTGAAGAGAGAATGAGATCGCGAATGAGAAACCGTGAGATGCTCTAAAATGTCTCCCTTTTGCCCTTTGTTGAAATATTCTCTCTCTCTCTCCCCTTTGCACACCTTTTTGCTTCCATCCCAGGCTGTTTTTTTTTGGTTTGTTGTTTATTTATCATGTCTCGAAAAGACAATTATCTTTGCCCCAGTGACCGGCGGCCGTGTTAGATGACTTTAACTGAGTCTGGCTGCGTTCCTGCTGATGGAGGCGGAGGAAGAGCAGGCCCTTACATCACGCCCGTATCGCCACCGATACATTTGGCACGCTACATTGATCCTTGGGGCGTTAAATCCTGGCCACGGTGTAGAGTCAGCTTGGACACCTGAGGGAAAGGATGCTATCTCATCTCACTTAGGCAAACTTCGGCCACTTGACTTCTTTCCTTCCAGGTCGTCGTTTGATCTCGGATTCCGTGTTAACGAGTTCGTTAAGTAATTATGAGTAGAGCAAACCTGACCTTTTAGATTTGCTTTAAGTAGTAAAAATCTTCACATTTCACCAATGCAGGAAGTGAAGATTTTGTAAAGATCAAAGATCAGCTGATGGTAATTTTCTGTAATGAGGCTGTGTCTGGCACTTCAGCCGCCATTTGCATTGAATGTGTGTGATTTGAACATACTTTTGAGAGTATCCTGCAGACAGATGCTCATTAGTCTCGCAGAGCCAAGCTTTGACTATCAGCATAACGTCTGGTGCACTTTGCAGCTTCAGTGTGGCCAAGAAGTGCCCACTTAAGAATCTGACTTGCATGTAAAACGACCTATCACAGTTTGGTTTCATTTATTCATTTTTAATATGACCCTTAGGAGCAGGTAAACTTGAAATTGATAATACCACAATAATAGACCGTTATGCATCCTGTACATAAAAAGCATGGTAGTTACTGCAAGTTACTTTATGGACATTTTATTTATTTAAGCTTTATTTAATCAGACAAGTCACTTGAACAAGTTCTTATTTTCAAAGGGAAAAAAATATATAAAATTATAGTCATAAGTAGCATCCAAATATTGTCCTATCTTAACAAACCATACATCAATGGAAAGCTTATTTATTAAAAATATATGTATATAAAAATGTATATATATTTATATAGCTTATATAAAAAAAAAATTTCTGCTCAAGTTTTATGTATGTATTTATAGAAGTATTTATACTATATATATAATATAATATAATTAGCAATATCAGATGAGCAGCTAGAGCAATATCACTTGAGTGCTGCTTCGGAACATGCCCTATATGTTAAACTCATCAAATCAGAGAGAAATGAACCAGAAACCATCCTAAAATTGTACTGGGATTCTGACTGATTTTGACTAGTCACTCAGGCAACTACCTACTAGTCAATTTTGAAAATATGTAGTATTCAGACCCAGCCAATCAGCATAAAGCTCTCAGTTTTAAATCCCCCTCAGCATTATCGTGTGTACCGTGCATTAGACGGTCTGTGGGCGAGCTGTGCTGTCTGAGACTGACTCTGGATGCTCATTAGCGACTTAAGGGATCTCTACTTGAGTTTTAATGCTTTGTTTCAGTTCTTCATTTTTCTCCTAGTTCTGTGTCTGTCTTAGATATGTTGTTTATTCTCTCAGAGCTGAGCACAGTTATAGATGGCACATTCTGTAATTGTATGTCTATTAGTGGAGCTAAAGCAGAAGCACTCAAAGACGTAAATCCTGAAACAAATCTGTTGTGTAACCTAAACTAAGACAGTGATATATGTTTATTATGCACAAATTACAGTCTTTATGATGTTGGAAGTGGGAGCCCATTTCGAGAAAAATGCAACTCTAGCATCAAATAATTTCTCTGGACACCCTCATTCCCATTTTATAGTCATGATTTCTTTAAAGGCAATGAGCTTGAAGAATGATGTTTAAACTTATGGCATTTATAATAATATATAAAAATATTAATTTTTTTTTATTTCTGATTATTAATATATATATATATATATATTAAAAAAAAAATTTTCAGATCAGCCAAAGGAGAGAAAAAGATCATTTTAACAGATGTTGTCCATTTTGTAATGTTTGCTATCACTTTTATTGCTTATTTTTATTGCATACTTCAGGTTAAGAATTTTGTTATAATATAAACTATTACTTCTCAAAGTGATCTGACTTCAGGTTTTTGCCTGGTGAATGATAAATTTGGCAAAACATCTTTAGGATTACATAATCCTAATAATTGGTCACTGAATTATTATTTACATTTTGTCTGTCCATCGCATTGTATACTTTCAGAAGATTTGGAATATAATGCATTAGAAGTAGGGTCTACTTTTTTGGTGCCTTTTTACTAATCTGTAAATAACTTAGGTCATTATATGTGAAAAAAAAACAGTTTAAGCTTTCTTTCTTAATAATTCTCCTTTTGTGTTCCACTGAAGAAATAACAGGTTAGAATGACATAAGGGCCCGTACGTAATAACAGAATTGTAATTTTTTGGGTACTGTCTCTTTAACTCGCACTCCAGTAATCTTCCTAGATGTAGCGTGTACTGGAAGTGAAACAGGCAATAGATTAAATGACTTTTGTTGTATAGATCTTACCAGCATTAAAGGACTAATGAAGTCCGTATTTAATGAGACAGATACAGTAGATGAAGATACACTCATACACCTTATCTGCATGTGCAGATATGCAGTGTACACTGAAGTATGTGAAGGGCCTGAGTTTGCCTTTAAATAAGAACTTTATATTCAGGATGTGTGTGGCAGAGTCTTACAGAGAGAGAGAGAGAGAAATGGGTACAGAGAGACAGGTGAATATCTACAGGGCTTCAGTCACACTGAGTGGAGCGCTGAAGAGTCTGGTCCACCTTTATCACTCTCAATCAATCGACATTGCCAAATGCATTGAAAACTGGCCAAACTGGAAAGCAATATGCAACAAACAAATATACAGTGTGTATATGTTGTGACATAGAAATCTGTTGTTCACCAGTCGCCATTTATCAAAAGACTTGCATTCTGCTCTACTAACTATCAATGAATAATTGAACAACGACGTGAGGGAGAAAGAAATATGACGAGAGAGAGGGAGGAGGGATCTTAATCTTAACCTCTCTCTCTCTCTCTC